CGGGTACAGCCACAAGGTGTACCATTTTGCTGAATCTGTCAACAAATACGAGAATATCCGTATTTCCGCGTGCGTCTTTGGGTAACCCGAAGACGAAATCCATTGAGATGGATTCCCAGCACTCAGCCGGAACCGGTAGAGGCTGTAAAGGTGCACGCAGTGAAGGACTTGACTTCACTCGTTGACAGACTTCGCATGCGCGAACATACTTCCGCACAAACTGATACTGGCGGGGCCAGTAAAAGTCTCGACTCACCGTGAGATATGTCTTCTCCCGGCCACGATGTCCTCCTATCGGAACATCGTGATACTCGAACATGATCCGCAAACGCAGATCAGTATCATCTGGAATGACAACACGTGGTGTGTCACCAGAAACGGCTGTATAATACAGTAACCCGTTGCGAGTAGTGTATCGATCTGATGCAGATCGATACGCAGGCGACAATCGTTTCAACGATTCTCGAGATGGTTGTGAGAGATGTGTCAACAACTTCACAATCTCACCATCTTGGGTATACGCCCACCTCACATCATCATGCAACGTTTTAGATGGGACTGAGGACGTCATAACCACAACAGTGACTGTCTCACTGTTGGGTTTCACGACTGTTTCAAAGTCGGGACGACGTGAGAGTGCATCAGCGACGACATTAAGGCGTCCTGGTTTGTACTCGACCGTAAAGTTGTATTCTGCAAAGAATGACAACCACCGCGCCATTCGTTGTGAAAGGTGCGGGCTGTTCACTGCCGTGCGTAATGACGCATGGTCAGTGTAAACCACGAAGGGTCTATCTCCTAATAGATGGACTCTGAACTTCGCGAGTGCATACTTCATGGCAAGGAGTTCCTTGTCATGCACTGAATAGTTCCGCTCAGCTGGTTGCAGCTGACGCGACTGATAGCAGACGACGCTTTCAACACCTTCAAGATCGTACTGCATTAATGCACAGCCGATTGCGAAATCGCTGGCATCACAGACCACATGAAATGGCCTGTCCTGATCGGCTATTGCTAGGACTGGGGATTGTATCAAGCTCTGCTTGATACCATCAAAGGAGCGTTGACATTCAGCGTTCCATAACCACCTCTCGTTCTTTTTCAACAAATGAGAGAGGTGCACAGTCATCTCGGCGTAATTGCGTGAATACTTATGCAAATACGCCGCTAGCCCAAGGAATTTTCGAAGACCTTTGACATCAACCGGCACAGGCCTGTCGGTGATCGCCTTGATCTTTTCGGTATCAGGACGTACACCGTTCTTACCATCGATGCACCCAAGAAGTGGTATTTCGCTTGCTGCAAATATACACTTCTTGAGGTTTGCATACAATTGATGCTTTCGCATGATTGTAAGAACTTGTCGGACGTGGTACCTGTGAACCTCAACGTCCGACTTTCCATCCATAGCTCGACTATGGATGAATACGTCATCGAAATAGCTCGGCGCGAATTCTCGTACTGGTCTCAACAGATGTGATACACATCTGTTGAACGTGGCAGGGGCATTACTGAGCCCTTGTGGCATTACTAGCCATTCCCAGAGCATGCCGCTAGGCGTGCTAACTGCGGTATAGGGTATATCCCGTTCTCGCATAAGGATTTGATAGAAGTCATCCATCAATCTCCATGGACGAAAAGATGGTACTCTTTGACATACCATCAATGATTACGTCCTTCCTCGGTATCGGCGTCTGAGCCGGTACCGTTGCAGCGTTCAATTTGTTGAACGCGTGCACTATCCGCCACCCTCCTGTTGCTTTTCGCACACAGAAGGTCGGAGAGCTATGTGGGGAAGTTGATTCCCTCACATGGCTCGCAGCTAAACGATCGGCAAAGAACTTGTCGATCGCAAGTACTTGTTCACGAGGCAGTGGCCACTGCTTCATGACACAGTACTTCGACTCTAGTTTAAGCTCGACCTCGTGTCGAATACCTTTATCCTTCGGTAATTCGCACGGAACAGTTTCAGGGAATACATCCTTGAATTCAACCAAATCTTCATAGAGATGATTTCTCTTGAGCGATTCCCATGATTGGGAGTCATATCGCTCAATTCGTGTCTTTTCATTAAGGACACTCTCGTCCATCGATGAACTACTGAGAACTCTCTCGTTCTCAGTGAACACTGTTGCTGACCTTATGTCGGTTACACACTCGTCGTCAGCGACGAGTATGCAGATCTGCTTGACTTTGACACTACGCAGATCACGCAAGAACCTTTTATGTTAGAGCGTTGGCAACTGAGTGATCTCCGAAGTTAACTTCGGAGGCGCAATCAGATCAAGTGTATAAGCGCCTACACTTGATCCGTTATTGACTATGACATTCAATGTCTCTGTCATTTCCTGGGGACTTATTCCCTCAGGCTTCGAAGGACTTATTCCTTCGGCTTCCCGGGGACTTATTCCCGCGGGTTTCGGGGAACTTATTTCCGCCGTATTTGTATTATCGGGACTTATTCCCTTTATTTCCTCTAGCTGTGGTTGCGCAACCACAGCGAGATCCTCTACGAAAGACTCTCCAGTCGATCTAGAATTATTGTTTCGCTTAACCTGAGCGATCGATTGTTTCTCTTCTAGATGTTCCCCTCTAGGGATACATCTTTGTCCCGGTCCACTCGACTTATTCGAGTGGTGGACCTTCGGCGCAGCCTGTGTTTCCTCACAGCCGCCGGAACTTTGCTCCGAAGTGTAACCGTTTGTTACACTAAGGTTTCGTGCAGTCGTACTAACGACCGTACCACAAGTGAGGCCATCGCACTCACTCGTAGTACATCCACACGCTTGTGGACGCTCCAAAACGTTCATTAGATGGCTATCTGATGAACAAGCGGCAGAGCATCGTTACTGTTCGATGTTGCCAGTTTACCCGTGGTTCGTACCTTCTGAGCCACGGTATTCCAGGGATGACATCAAATTTGTCATCCAAATCCAATACGATAAAGTCATCGTCATATTGGGTATCTTCTAGCGTATAGTGGATCTTCACTATACGCTTCATGACGGATTACGGATGCGCCTGTCGCAAGACGTACCGTCATCCTCGTAGGAGGTGTGTCACATTCACTGAACTTAAAGTGACCATCTTCTAGCGATTGGCGTCGCACAAAATTGTTGGACGCCCCACAATCGACTAGAGCTCGAAGGGACAACTTATTCGTCACTTCGAGTTTCAAGGTAATGAGTGAGACCTCATTACCTAGAGCAGCAACGCACAACGTTTGTGTGTTGGGAGCAACCTTCATCAAGAGGCCTACAAATTCTCTTGACGTTGCTAGACCAGTAGGGTGCTCCGCACCTACTGATACTGTCCGTTTTTTGACGGTCCATCCCGTTGTTGCGTCTTTGCACCAACTGCGGACCCTCGTCCCTGCCCCTTTCTCATGGGTGGACGGTCACTACGCCCAGTGTCGCGAGACACTGGATGAGGGGCACTACACTCGTAAGCGTAGTGTCCTGTCTTTTGACATCTGTTGCATCTCTGCAACTTCTTGTAGCCTGTAGAGCGAGCCTTCTCGCTCTCTACATAACAGAGTTCCATCGGCTCTGGACCTCCGCTGTCATATCGTCTCGGTTGACAATATGATGTCGAGCTGTCGCGAGCCTGTCTCAGCCTGAAGTCTTCCTGTTCCGCAATGGAAATGGCTTGTTCTAGTGAATCTAGTTCAAGTCGGAACAGGTGAGTCTTGACGGGACCATCCGCAAGACCCTGCATGAACACCGAAACCAACGTGTGTTCATCAACCGGGTTGGAACTTATGCAACTCGTGAGATATCGTATATGTTGCGCGTAAGCGTGCACATCACGCTTACCTTGTTTGAGCTTCAAGAGTTCGGTTCGAGCTCTGAACTCAGCTCTAGGCGGTTCAAACGTTTGTCTGAGCCGCGACTTGAAGACTTCCAACGACCCAAACGCATATGGGTCGTGCAACTTGAGCCCCAGTGCCCAAGTCTTGGCACGTCCTGCCAGATTTGACTGGGCAAATGCAACTTGCATATCTCCGTCGTCGATGCGACGCGCCCTTATGGCGTCATCCAATTCGACGAACCATCTCAAGAGGGAGTCCTCTTCGACTCCCCTATACTTGGAGATGTCAATCTTCAAGGTCTCGGGTCGACGCGAGTGCATCGACCCGCCAGCAGCAGCCTGCTGCTGTCTCAACAGTTCAAACTGTTGAGCACCCTGTTCTCTCAACAACTCTGCTTGTTGAGAACCTTGTTGGTGAAGCAAGGCTACTTTCTCGCGTTCTGCGTCAAGTTCATTTTGAATGAACTTGGCGATAGTACCATGCTGGGCATCTCTATTGAGAGCCTCTAGCATGACGCTAACAGCATGGATGCCCATGGTTGAACCCATTCGTTCAACCGCATCCCATTCGACATCGCTCAAATGGGAGTAGCCGTCACGCGTAGCGTGAAAGCTTTGGTCATCTTCATCATCCAACATATTCATGTTGGATGTGAACGCGGTCCTTGGACGGACTACGAAGTGCTACCAGGTGTAACGGGGCACCCTGAAGCTTGTACTGGTAACAGTACAAGCTACTTTTTCTGATGACAGAATAAGGCGGTGCCTCGTAACTTCACGTACACTCGTACGTGCAGAGGAAGACGGTAAGAAGAAGCGAGTACTTGGTTAAAGTAAAAAGTAGAACTGTATTTATAATAGTTAATGTCTGCAATAAATCACTATTTATCTTCATCTAACTATGTCTGAATACAAATGTGTAAATCAACTATCTGCTCACCACTCATTGCGTGCGTCTGTCGTGGCGCGTCTTCGTTGGTTGATATAATGGCCTATATCAACCAATTAGGAACTGCTCGTAAGTGCTGCAGAATATTTGTCCTTATGACAATATTCTGAGAACTCAACTCTAGTAGTTATAATCTATTAACAATTTCTTATGAATTGTTATGTAACGATTCACCCCGTTACAAAAGCCGTCTACGATTAGTCAGTCAGGCATCAATCAACGAACCAGACTGGTCACTTCGATGCAAACGGGATCGGGCGATGAGTTCACCCTCGTTAACAACGTACTGCGCTACGACATGGAGGGAGACGTGATCAAAGTTGGTCACGATGCAATAGCTGTCGCGACAGGGTGTGTGTACAACAACGATGTCCGATGACTCTTTCTTCGTCACCACCACAATCCAGTGGATCCTTGAGTTCTGTCGTCCCATGACCATGCATCTGTCTCCTGTAGAGAATAGGTACCAGCACCGTGCCGCTTCTCCACCAGAGAATACGGTATGTGCAGCAGCGCCTGGGGCCGATTGCTGGTTTGGTATCGTGCCGACTCGAGTCTCTGATAGTGAAGGAAGCATTGTGACTGATGCTGCATCCGCTAGTCTTCGTTCTCGACGCGGCGCGTCCGAGACAACTCCTAGCTCTCTCACTTTTCGACTTTCCGGCACCAGATCACGACAACTGTTTGGTTGCTCAACCTTGAGGACCTCTCGACACTACTCCATTGATCGACGCATTCCAGTCACCTCTTCAAGAACCAAGATGCACGCCAAGCTGCTCGCCGTGTCCAGTCTGTGCGTCGCCGCGTCTGTTTTGCAGGCTACCGAGGCCCGTGGTGCTTCGGCTGACATTCTCTCGCGTCGTCAACTCGGCGACTACAAGGATCACGGACACCACCATTCGCACAAGCACGAACACCACAAGAAGCACGTCCACGACGACAGCAAAGGCCACTCGCACTATCGCCGCCGACTTGAAGACGCCAAGGCGACCGAGTCCTCGCATGACTATAGCTACGGACACGACGACTACGGTCACGACGACTACGGCCACGGCGACTACGAGCACAAGGACTATGACCACGGCAAACATGACTACAAGGGCTACGGCGTCGGCTACGGCTACGACAAGCATGACCATAAGGGATATGGCTACGACAAGCAAGACCACAAGGGATATGGCTACGACGATGGCTACTACGGCTACGGCGAGGCATATGGAAACGACTACTACGGCTATGGAAAAGGTTATGGTAAGGGCTACGGCGACGACTACTCCATCTATGGCAAGGGCTATGGCAAAGGCTGTGGTGACGACTACAAGAGCCATGGCAACGGATACGGCTATGGCAAGGGATACGGCTTTGGCAAGGGATATGGAGACGACTACTACAGCCATGGCAAGGGATATGAAGACGATTACTACAGCCATGGCAAAGGCTATGGCAAAGGTTGTGGTGACGACTACTACAGCTATGGCAACGGATACGACATGGGATACAGTGGCTATGGCGGCTACCCGGACTACTACTCGTCGTACGGTGGCTATGGCTACGGCCAACCTGGCTACGGGTCCCCGGACTACTTCGGCTATGAGTCTGCGACTGGCGCTAGCGTCGATGGTAACAGCATGAAGAAGGAATCCTCGACTGCCGCTGCGACGGAAGGTGCCGAAAACAAGTCGAACGAGAAGGACAGCAAGACGTCGTCGGTGTCATCTCAGAAGGCGAAGGCGAAAGAAGCCAAGTCAGATGACGCGGACAAGTCGACGAAGAACAAGTAAATCGCTCACGTGAGTGAACAGAGAGCGCCGAGTGAAAAGAGGACAGCGAGGTGGGTGGACGATGTTCGGTAGTCTCCGGTGATGTGTAGCGTCGATTGTACGGCAAAAGTAGCGTCAGTAATATTTCAACTCCAATAGATGTGCCAACAACCAACTTTTCTACCTACATTTACCGCATCGCAAAGTCGGAGAAAAAGAGATCACCGACACCAACCTACAGACAATGCACGTCAAGAGACGTGAAGCGATACTAGCACACTCGGACAGCGGTATTGGACATGATAGCTCTGCCCCTCTGCGAACTGGACAGCATCACTCGTGTCACATGCTATCATCTGCGCGTCAAGCTCCTGGGTAGTCCATCTGAAAGCCGTCTACAAATGGTAAGTCAGACCCCCCATCGGTCAACGAACCAGACTGGTCACTTCGATGCAAACAGGATCAGACGATGAGTTTACTCTTGTATACAATGTACTGCGCTACGACATGGAGGGAGACGTGATCAAAGTTGGTCACGATGCAATAGCTGTCGCGACAGGGTGTGTGTACAACAACGATGTCCGAAGACTCTTTCTTCGTCACCACCACAATCCATTGGATCCTTGAGCTCTGTCGTCCCATGACCATGCCTCTGTCTCCTGTAGAGAATAGGTACCAGCACCGTGCCGCTTCTCCACCAGAGAATACGGTATGTGCAGCAGCGCCTGGGGCCGATTGCTGGTTTGGTATCGTGCCGACTCGAGTCTCTGATAGTGAAGGAAGCATTGTGACTGATGCTGCATCCGCTAGTCTTCGTTCTCGACGCGGCGCGTCCGAGACAACTCCTAGCTCTCTCACTTTTCGACTTTCCGGCACCAGATCACGACAACTGTTTGGTTGCTCAACCTTGAGGACCTCTCGACACTACTCCATTGATCGACGCATTCCAGTCACCTCTTCAAGAACCAAGATGCACGCCAAGCTGCTCGCCGTGTCCAGTCTGTGCGTCGCCGCGTCTGTTTTGCAGGCTACCGAGGCCCGTGGTGCTTCGGCTGACATCCTCTCGCGTCGTCAACTCGGCGACTACAAGGATCACGGACACCACCATTCGCACAAGCACGAACACCACAAGAAGCACGTCCACGACGACGACAACAAAGGCCACTCGCACTATCGCCGCCGACTTGAAGACGCCAAGGCAACCGAGTCCTCGCATGACTATAGCTACGGTCACGACGACTACGGTCACGACGACTACGGAGCACAAGGACTATGACCACGGCAAACATGACTACAAGGGCTACGGCGTCGGCTACGGCTACGACAAGCATGACCATAAGGGATATGGCTACGACAAGCAAGACCACAAGGGATATGGCTACGACGATGGCTACTACGGCTACGGCGAGGCATATGGAAACGACTACTACGGCTATGGAAAAGGTTATGGTAAGGGCTACGGCGACGACTACTCCATCTATGGCAAGGGCTATGGCAAAGGCTGTGGTGACGACTACTACAGCTATGGCAACGGATACGGCTATGGCAAGGGATACGGCTTTGGCAAGGGATATGAAGACGACTACTACAGCCATGGCAAAGGCTATGGCAAAGGTTGTGGTGACGACTACTACAGCTATGGCAACGGATACGACATGGGATACAGTGGCTATGGCGGCTACCCGGACTACTACTCGTCGTACGGTGGCTATGGCGGCTACCCGGACTTTTACTCGTCTTTTGGCTATGGCTACGGCCAACCTGGCTACGGGTCCCCGGACTACTTCGGCTATGAGTCTGCGACTGGCGCTAGCGTCGATGGTAACACCATGAAGAAGGAATCCTCGACTGCCGCTGCGACGGAAGGTGCCGAAAACAAGTCGAACGAGAAGGACAGCAAGACGTCGTCGGTGTCATCTCAGAAGGCGAAGGCGAAAGAAGCCAAGTCAGATGACGCGGACAAGTCTACGAAGAACAAGTAAATCGCTCACGTGAGTGAACAGAGAGCGCCGAGTGAAAAGAGGACAGCGAGGTGGGTGGACGATGTTCGGTAGTCTCCGGTGATGTGTAGCGTCGATTGTACGGCAAAAGTAGCGTCAGTAATATTTCAACTCCAATAGATGTGCCAACAACCAACTTTTCTACCTACATTTACCGCATCGCAAAGTCGGAGAAAAAGAGATCATCGACACCAACCTACAGACAATGCACGTCAAGAGACGTGAAGCGATACTAGCACACTCGGACAGCGGTATTGAACATGATAGCTCTGCCCTTTCGAACTGGACAGCGTCATTCGTGTCACATGCATTATCTGCGCGTCAAGCTCCTGGGTAGTCCATCCGAAAGCCGTCTACAAATGGTAAGTCAGACCCCCCATCGGTCAACGAACCAGACTGGTCACTTCGATGCAAACGGGATCGGGCGATGAGTTTACTCTTGTATACAACGTACTGCGCTACGACATGGAGGAAGACGTGATCAAAGTTGGTCACGATGCAATAGCTGTCGCGACAGGGTATGTGTACAACAACGATGTCCGATGACTCTTTCTTCGTCACCACCACAATCCATTGGATCCTTGAGCTCTGCCGTCCCATGACACTGCCTCTGTCTCCTGTAGAGAATAGGTACCAGCACCGTGCCGCTTCCTCACCAGAGAATACGGTATGTGCAGCAGCGCCTGGGGCCGATTGCTGGTTTGGTATCGTGCCGACTCAAGTCTCTGATAGTGAAGGAAGCATTGTGACTGATGCTGTATCTGCTAGTCTTCGTTCTCGACGCGGCGCGTCCGAGACAACTCCTAGCTCTCTCACTTTTCGACTTTCCGGCACCAGATCACGACAACTGTTTGGTTGCTCAACCTTGAGGACCTCTCGACACTACTCCATTGATCGACGCATTCCAGTCACCTCTTCAAGAACCAAGATGCACGCCAAGCTGCTCGCCGTGTCCAGTCTGTGCGTCGCCGCGTCTGTTTTGCAGGCTACCGAGGCCCGTGGTGCTTCGGCTGACATCCTCTCGCGTCGTCAACTCGGCGACTACAAGGATCACGGACACCACCATTCGCACAAGCACGACCACCACAAGAAGCACGTCCACGACGACGACCACAAAGGCCACTCGCACTATCGCCGCCGACTTGAAGACGCCAAGGCGACCGAGTCCTCTCATGACTATAGCTACGGTCACGACGACTATGGTCACGACGACTACGAGCACAAGGACTATGACCACGGCAAACATGACTACAAGGGCTACGGCGTCGACTACAGCTACGACAAGCATGACCATAAGGGATATGGCTACGACAAGCATGACCACAAGGGATATGGCTACGACGATGGCTACTACGGCTACGGCGAGGCATATGGAAACGACTACTACGGCTATGGAAAAGGTTATGGTAAGGGCTACGGCGACGACTACTCCATCTATGGCAAGGGCTATGGCAAAGGCTGTGGTGACGACTACTACAGCTATGGCAACGGATACGGCTATGGCAAGGGATACGGCTATGGCAAGGGACACGGCTATGGGAAAGGATACGGAGACGACTACTACAGCCATGGCAAGGGCTATGGAAAAGGTTGTGGTGACGACTATTCCAGCTACGGCAACGGATACGACATGGGATACAGTGGCTATGGCGGCTACCCGGACTTTTACTCGTCGTACGGTGGCTATGGCGGCTACCCGGACTACTACTCGTCTTTTGGCTATGGCTACGGCCAACCTGGCTACGGGTCCCCGGACTACTTCGGCTATGAGTCTGCGACTGGCGCTAGCGTCGATGGTAACACCATGAAGAAGGAATCCTCGACTGCCACTGCGACGGAAGGTGCCGAAAACAAGTCGAACGAGAAGGACAGCAAGACGTCGTCGGTGTCATCTCAGAAGGCGAAGGCGAAAGAAGCCAAGTCAGATGACGTGGACAAGTCTACGAAGAACAAGTAAATCGCTCAAGTGAGTGAACAGAGAGCACCGTGTGACAAGAGGACAGCGAGGTGGGTGGACGATGTTCGGTAGTCTCCGGTGATGTGTAGCGTCGATTGTACGGCAAAAGTAGCGTCAGTAATAATTCAACTCCAATAGATGTGCCAACAACCAACTTCTCTACCTACATTTACCGCATCGCAAAGTCGGAGAAAAAGAGATCATCGACATCAACCTACAGACATTGCACGTCAAGAGACGTGAAGCATTACTAGCACACTCGGACAGCGGTATTGGACATGATAGCTCTGCCCCTCTGCGAACTGGACAGCATCACTCGTGTCACATGCTATCATTTGCGCGTCAAGCTCCTGGGCAGTCCATCCGAAAGCCGTCTACGAATGGTCAGTCAGACCCCCCATCGGTCAACGAACCAGACTGGTCACTTCGATGCAAACGGGATCGGGCGATGAGTTTACTCTTGTATACAACGTACTGCGCTACGACATGGAGGGAGACGTGATCAAAGTTGGTCACGATGCAATAGCTGTCGCGACAGGGTGTGTGTACAACAACGATGTCCGAAGACTCTTTCTTCGTCACCACCACAATCCATTGGATCCTTGAGCTCTGTCGTCCCATGACCATGCATCTGTCTCCTGCAGAGAATAGGTACCAGCACCGTGCCGCTTCTCCACCAGAGAATACGGTATGTGCAGCAGCGCCTGGGGCCGATTGCTGGTTTGGTATCGTGCCGACTCGAGTCTCTGATAGTGAAGGAAGCATTGTGACTGATGCTGCATCCGCTAGTCTTCGTTCTCGACGCGGCGCGTCCGAGACAACTCCTAGCTCTCTCACTTTTCGACTTTCCGGCACCAGATCACGACAACTGTTTGGTTGCTCAACCTTGAGGACCTCTCGACACTACTCCATTGATCGACGCATTCCAGTCACCTCTTCAAGAACCAAGATGCACGCCAAGCTGCTCGCCGTGTCCAGTCTGTGCGTCGCCGCGTCTGTTTTGCAGGCTACCGAGGCCCGTGGTGCTTCGGCTGACATCCTCTCGCGTCGTCAACTCGGCGACTACAAGGATCACGGACACCACCATTCGCACAAGCACGAACACCACAAGAAGCACGTCCACGACGACGACAACAAAGGCCACTCGCACTATCGCCGCCGATTTGAAGACGCCAAGGCGACCGAGTCCTCTCATGACTACAGCTACGGTCACGACGACTATGGTCACGACGACTACGAGCACAAGGACTATGAACACGGCAAACATGACTACAAGGGCTACGGCGTCGGCTACGACAAGCATGACCATAAGGGATATGGCTACGACAAGCATGACCACAAGGGATATGGCTACGACGATGGCTACTACGGCTACGGCGAGGCATACGGAAACGACTACTACGGCTATGGAAAAGGTTATGGTAAGGGCTACGGCGACGACTACTCCATCTATGGCAAGGGCTATGGCAAAGGCTGTGGTGACGACTACTACAGCTATGGCAACGGATACGGCTATGGCAAGGGATACGGCTATGGCAAGGGACACGGCTATGGGAAAGGATACGGAGACGACTACTACAGCCATGGCAAGGGCTATGGCAAAGGTTGTGGTGACGACTACTACAGCTATGGCAACGGATACGACATGGGATACAGTGGCTATGGCGGCTACCCGGACTTTTACTCGTCGTACGGTGGCTATGGCGGCTACCCGGACTACTACTCGTCGTACGGTGGCTATGGCTACGGCCAACCTGGCTACGAGTCCCCGGACTACTTCGGCTATGAGTCTGCGACTGGCGCTAGCGTCGATGGTAACACCATGAAGAAGGAATCCTCGACTGCCACTGCGACGGAAGGTGCTGAAAACAAGTCGAACGAGAAGGACAGCAAGACGTCGTCGGTGTCATCTCAGAAGGCGAAGGCGAAAGAAGCCAAGTCAGATGACGCGGACAAGTCTACGAAGAACAAGTAAATCGCTCAAATGAGCGAGCAGAGAGCACCGTGTGAAAAGAGGACAGCGAGGTGGGTGGACGATGTTCGGTAGTCTCCGGTGATGTGTAGCGTCGATTGTACGGCAAAAGTAGCGTCAGTAATAATTCAACTCCAATAGATGTGCCAACGACCAACTTCTCTACTTACATTTACCGCATCGCAAAGTCGGAGAAAAAGAGATCATCGACACCAACCTACAGACATTGTACGTCAAGAGACGTGAAACATTGCTAGCACACTCGGACAGCAGTATTGGACATGATAGCTCTGCCCTTTCGAACTGGACAGCGTCATTCGTGTCACATGCATTATCTGCGCGTCAAGCTCCTGGGCAGTCCATCCGAAAGCCGTCTACGAATGGTCAGTCAGACCCCCCATCGGTCAACGAACCAGACTGGTCACTTCGATGCAAACGGGATAAGGCGATGAGTTCACCCTCGTTAACAACGTACTGCGCTACGACATGGAGGGAGACGTGATCAAAGTTGGTCACGATGCAATAGCTGTCGCGACAGGGTGTGTGCACAACAACGATGTCCGATGACTCTTTCTTCGTCACCACCACAATCCATCGGATCCTTGAGCTCTGTCGTCCCATGACCATGCATCTGTCTCCTGCAGAGAATAGGTACCAGCACCGTGCCGCTTCTCCACCAGAGAACACGGTACGTGCAGCAGTGCCTGGGGCCGATTGCTGGTTCGGTGATCGTGCCGACTCGAGTCTCTGATAGTGAAGGAAGTATTGTGACTGATGCTGCATCTGCTAGTCTTCGTTCTCGACGCGGCGCGTCCGAGACAACTCCTAGCTCTCTCACTTTTCAGCTTCCCGGCACCAGATCACGACAACTGTTCGGTTGCTCAACCTTGGGGATCTCTCGACACTAGTCCATTGATCGACGCGTTCCAGTCACCTCTTCAAGAACCAAGATGCGCGCCAAGCTGCTCGCCGTGTCCAGTCTGTGCGTCGCCGCGTCTGTTTTGCAGGCTACCGAGGCCCGTGGTGCTTCGGCTGACATCCTCTCGCGTCGTCAACTCGGCGACTACAAGGATCACGGACACCACCATTCGCACAAGCACGACCACCACAAGAAGCACGTCCACGACGACGACAACAAAGGCCACTCGCACTATCGCCGCCGATTTGAAGACGCCAAGGCGACCGAGTCCTCTCATGACTATAGCTACGGTCACGACGACTATGGTCACGACGACTACGAGCACAAGGACTATGACCACGGCGTCGGCTACGGCTACGACAAGCATGACCATAAGGGATATGGCTACGACAAGCATGGCCACAAGGGATATGGCTACGACGATGGCTACTACGGCTACGGCGAGGCATATGGAAACGACTACTACGGCTATGGAAAAGGTTATGGTAAGGGCTACGGCGACGACTACTCCATCTATGGCAAGGGCTATGGCAAAGGCTGTGGTGACGACTACTACAGCTATGGCAACGGCTACGACTATGGCAAGGGATACGGCCTTGGCAAGGGATATGGAGACAACTACTACACCGAAGGCAAGGGCTATGGCGAAGGTTGTGGTGACGACTAATAGACTCGCAAAGCTATAAAAAAATTTTTAGCATCATTGAAATGGAAGTGTGTACACTCGCATTTCTCCAGAGGCCACGACGAGGGGCTCACTCCACTTTGCTACAGGTACAACCACCCGTCTAAACTAATAAAAACGACTAAAAATAACCACAAATATTCAATAGAGTCCTGTAAAATGTACGCTGAGACATTGACAATAACAGCTAAAAATATTGATACCGAGTCCAAAAAAAATATAAACGGAGACATTGGATGAAGTGCGGATGCAAACGTGGAAGTCAGGCTTTACGCTGGACCGTACTTTAATGTTTTGCTGTGGCCGACGCCACCGCAAGCGCTGCACATATCCGATTTTCTCCGATTCTACGGTCGGTCCACGTATTTAATCACAAGCTGTAACGGAGTATCTAGTTACATGATATTTACACCAAGTGGTGTCAATAGAGAGATTGTCTAGCGTGACAATTCCCCCCCCTGCCGATATTACCCGAGATACGTGATATTAAAGGAATCTAATCCCCTTGTAGGATAATATCCTTGCTCTGCTCCAAGATTAATTGATATAAGACTTATCAACCAAGGTTACCACCAATCGCTGCTGGACGCGCGTAATGAGTGGTGAGCAGGTTGTCGTCATACGACAATGTAGATTGATATAGTTAGATAAGACTGAAGTGACATTGATAGCTTAACTATGTTAATACAGTTCTCGTTTAATCTTTACTCAAACTAGCTGTTTGAGTAGATTACCTTCCTCTGCACGTACGAGTGTACGTGAAGTTTCGTGGCGCCCAAACCAAGGGTGCCCGTTTCACCTGGTAGCATTTGTAGTCCGTCCAACGACTACTTAGTGTCCGTTCAACATGAATGTGTTGAACGTCGAAGACAACAGCTTGTACGTCACACGTGAAGGCTACTCCTAACTAAGTGACTCAGAATGGGAGATAGTCGGCCGCATGAGTGTACTCATTAGCGAACCCGCCACTGGTGACATTATAGAGTCTGTGAACAGAGAACAACAACATGCCTATATTAACAAGTTTCTACAAGGGGAAATTGCTATCGAAAGACAGAAGATAGCCTTGCTGCACCAGCAAGGCTCTCAGCAGTCGATTGACGGCCGACGCACACGCGTCGACCTGAAACCTTGATATCTCAAGGTACAAGAGAACCGATGAAGATTCCATTTTTAGATGATTCGTCGAGTTAGACGATGCCATCAGGGCCCGTCACATCTAGGGTGACGAGATGCAAGTCGCCTTCGCCCTGTCAAATTTAACAGGACGAGCAAAGATTTGGGCCTTAGGGCTCAAGCTTTACGACTCAAACGTGTTTGAGTCGTTAGAGATCTTAAAGTCTCGGCTTAAAGAGACGTTTGAGCCGCCGAGAGCCGAGTCCGGAGCAAGCTCTGCACTCTTGAGGCCAAAGCAAGGTAAGCGTGACTTGCACGTTTAAGCACAACATCTACGCTACCTTGACAGTAGCGTCGCGGAAAACCCTATTGATGAGCACACGCTCGTCAACGTGTTCATCTACGGCCTTGTGGATGGGCCGGTGAAGACCTACATGTTCCGAGAGGAATTCCATACGCGGTAAAAGGCGATAGCGTATGCGGAACAAGAAGACTTTAGCCTGAGACAGTCTCAGGCTAACTCGTCAAACTATCGTCCGACGAAGCGACAGGAAACAGGAGGTCCCGAACCAATAGACCACTGTTGTATCGAGAGCGAGAACACTCGCTCTCTGAGTCACAAGCGAACGGCAAGATTCCATCGCTGTCAGAAGATTGGACACTACGCTCATGAGTGTATTGTCCCAAGCACTGCAACACGTCCGAAGAAAGGAAGTGATGACCGCCGTTGGCCAAGGAGGGTCCGAGGCGTGGGAACGACCATGTCGCTAAGCCGCGACAGCAAGTCGGACGCCAAAAAACGGTCAGGGGTCCGTAGGGGCGGAGCACCCTGCTGATCCGGCAACGCCAAGAGAATTTGCAGGACTCTTGATGAAGATTGCTTCCAACAGACAGTCACTGTGTGTTACTGCCCCTGGTGATGAGGAGTCTCTCATCACTTTGAAGATCGAAGTGACAAGTGGAATGTCACTTTGTGCCCTAGTTGACTGTGGGGCGTCGAACAGGTTTATTCGACGTCAGTCGCTAGGGGGTAGCAGACTCAACTATGTTGAGCGAGAGTTTCCACCAACGAGGATAAAGGTGTGCCTTGCTACAGGCGCATCCGTAACAGTAAACACAAGTGTAGTGGGAATCCACTACACGCTAGAAGGACAGCAGTACGATGATAACCATCGTACTAAATTAGGATGACAAATTTGATGTCATCCTCAGTTTTCCATGGCTTAGAAAATACCAGCCATGGATCAGCTGGCAGCATCGATCTGTGAAGATGCCTGCCGTTTGTTCATCAGATGGCCATCTGATGAACTTCTTGGAGCGTCCACAAGCGTGTGGATGTACTACGGGTGAGTGCGATGGCCTCACTTGTAGTACGGTCGTTAGTAGGACTGCACAAGATGACGGTGTAGAAGACCACGATACTGTGGAAACAGCTTCCAGCACCTGTATAGAGACACAGGCTGCGCCGAAGGTTCTCCACTCGAAATGATTTAGTGGATTGGAACGTGGATGCCTAACAAGCAGGGTGCATTCATTAAAGAGATGAGTGTTGTTCAGGACGAACACCACGTTACATCGAGATCGACTAACAGAGAGTTGATTGCAAAGCAATTACGATCGACTGAAAGAGAGTCGATCGAAGAGGACGTGACTGTGGTAGTACACCCACAGTCAGTACACGTATTGGAAGAAAGTTCCAGAGCTCCTGAGAGTGATGACTCCAGAGAGAGTTTTGTTGAGGGGTGTGTTTCCCCAACCACCTGCGGATGTGTATTCCCAGGAAATCACCGAGACAGTGAATGTCTTGGTGAATGACGGATCAAGTGTAGGCGCTTCTACACTTAATCTGGTTACACCCCCGAAGTCATCTTCGGAGGTGGTCAAGACGTCAATGCTAGAATCTAAAAGATTCTTGCAAGATCTGCGCAGTGACAAGATCAAGCAGATCAGCTTACTCGTTACAAAGGACTGGTAAGCTACCGATATTCGGTCGGCACAAGTGTTTGCTAAGAACGAACGGGTTCTCAGTAGCTCATCGATGAACAAGAGTGTACTCGATGAGAAGACTCGGATCAAGAAACACACGTCTCAATCTTAAGATTCTTTGAAGACAAATCCTTTGTGTGAGGATTTGGTGTAATATAGGGATGTTTTTCCCGAATCCGTGCCATGCGAGCTGCCTAAGGACAAAGGCACTCGGCATGAGATCGAAATGAAACCTGGTTCAAAATACTGTGTCATGAAGCAGTGACCACTGCCTCGTGAACAGGTCATAGCGATCGGCAAAAAATTTGCCGATCGCTTAGCGGCTGGTCATGTAGAGGAATCAACATCCCCACACAGCTCTCCGACCATATGTGTGCGAAAGGCCACAGGAGGGTGGCGGATAGTGCACGCGCTCAAATAATTGAACGCTGTAACAGTTTCCGCTTCAACGTCGATGCCGACGAAGGACGTCGTCATTGATGGTATGGCAAAAAGTACCATCTTTTCGTCCATTGATCTGATGGATGGATCCTATCAGAACCTCATGTGTGAACAAGACATCCCGTACACTGCAGTGAGCACCCCCAGTAGTATGCTCTGGGAGTGTCTAGTGATGCCACAGGGGCTAAATCGTACCCCTGCAAAACTCAACAGATGTATTACAATTTTGTTGAGATTGGTGCGATACTTCGCACCTAGATACTTCGACGATGTCTTCGTCCATAGCCGGGCTACGGATGGAAAGACGGACGTGGGGGATCATAGATTCCACGTCAGGAAGGTTCTTACACGCACGCGTGAGCACAAGTTGTTCGCGAATATCAAGAAGTGTATATTCGCAGCGAACAAAGTACCACTTCTTGGCTGTATTGTAGTTAAAAACGGCGTACGCCGTGATCCGGAAAAGACCAAGGCGATTAGCGACTGGCCTGTGCCAGTCGACGTCAAGGGAATTCGAAAGCTACTTAGCTTAGTAGCGTACTTGCACAAGTACTCGCGCAACTACGCCGAAATGACCGTGCATCTGTCTTGTGTGTTAAAGAAAAACGAGAGGTGGTCATGGATCGCTTGATGTAAGCACAACTTCGAAGGTATCAAGAAAAGCTTGGTGCAATCGCCTGTGTTGGCGATTGCAGACCAAGACAGACCAATCAACGTCGGTTGTGACGCCAGAGATTTTGCGATCGGCTGCGCGTTAATGCAGTACGACTCCGACGGCGTTGAGTGCGTCGTCTGTTATTAATCGCGTCAGCTGCAAGCAGCTGAGCGTAACTACCCAGTACATGACAAGTAACGCCTTGCCATTAAATATGCACTGTCTAAGTTTCGAAAATATCTTTTAGGAGATAAGCCCTACCTTGTCTATATCGACCATGCTTCGTAACGCACGACCGTAAACAGTCCACACCCCTTGCAAAGAATGGCGAGGTGGCTGTCTATATTCGCGGAGTACAAATTCTCTGTCGAGTACAAACCAGGACGACTAAACGTCGTCGTTGATGCTCTTTCGCGTCGGCCCAATTTTGAGCCGGCTGCTCAACCCAAGAGTAGGGGTGATCCCACTGTTGCAACACTATCAGTAAGTGTTCCGTCGTCGAATCTGATCGACGACGTGCGAAGGGCATACGCAGAAAATGAGTCTCTTCTGCGATTGATGGATTACGTATCCAATCCATGCAGTCAAGCTATGAAAAGCTTGTCATCTCAATACTGCTCTTCAAACGAACGGTATTCGGTTCGTGATGGACTGCTGTACTTTACAGCAGTCAAGGGCGACACACCTCGTGTCTTCATTTCCGCTCATGATAATTTTCGAATGCGCATCATGTATGAGTGTCACGATGCCCCGACCAGTGGGCATCGCGGTAGAGAAAATACTT